TCAATTGATGGATTATTTTTTGAAGAGAAGGTTCATAATGAGAAGAACTCATCTGAAGAAGGAAGAAGAAATTCATAATGAGAAGAATTTGTTCAACCTTTTACCTGAATCCATCATTTGGTGGATCATCTTTTCCAGAGAAAGTTCATAATGAGAAGAACTCATCTGAAGAAGGAAGAAGAAGTTCATAATGAGAAGAATTTGTTCAACCTTTTACCTGAATCCATCATTTGATGGAACAGCTTTTCCAGAGAAGGTTCATAATGAGAAGAACTCATCTGAAGAAGGAAGAAGAAATTCATAATGAGAAGAATTTGTTCAACCTTTTACCTGAATCCATCATTTGGTGGATCATCTTTTCCAGAGAAAGTTCATAATGAGAAGAACTCATCTGAAGAAGGAAGAAGAAGTTCATAATGAGAAGAATTTGTTCAACCTTTTGCTTGAATTCATCATTTGATGGATCAACATTGCCAGGTAAAGTTCATAATGAGAAGAACTCATCTGAAGAAGGAAGAAGAAGTTCATAATGAGAAGAATTTGTTCAACCTTTTGCTTGAATTCATCATTTGATGGATCAACATTGCCAGGTAAAGTTCATAATGAGAAGAACTCATCTGAAGAAGGAAGAAAAAGTTCATAATGAGAAGAACTCATCAAGAGCTTATTCAACCTTTTGAATGACTCTATCACAAAAAGGAGGTCATCATCATCCCCAGCAGAAAGTTCATAATAAGAAGAACTTATTTGGAGAAAAAGAAGAATTTATTCAATATCTCCATAATGATCAAAGTAAAGTCAAATGGATAAAAAAATTTATTATCTTTTCATCTTTGCCCTATTCTTGTTAACACAAGAATGAGCAAAGAGGGGCAGCTGAAGATACTAAATTTTTTTTATCCATATTATTATTATTAATATTATTATTATCCTTATTATTATTAATATTATTATTATCATTATTATTATTATTATTATTATTATTATTAAATATATTAAAAATAATAATTACAGGCCCAATTACAATTGGACCGGCCCAGTTACAAACCAACCAGAACCGGTCCAAATCCAACCAGAAACCCTAAATATTTGGGTTTCCATTTAGGGTTTCCTAACCCTAATTTGATCAGCCGCCTCAGCTCACAGCCGTTGGATCTGATAAGATCCAACGGTCCAGATGGTGCCAGAAGGAAACCCTAGGGTTTGATACCCTAGGGCCACGCGGCGCCGCTCCAGCTTCCACGCGGCTGCCGACAGCCCTCGCCGCCTCCGCCGCTGCCACGTCCCAACCGAAGACTCCAGAAGATCATATACCAGCCGTCCATGCAAGGCTACGGGGTGAGTCACCACTGGTAGTCCGGTGACTCACCGAGGCCCCCTCTTCGGACCGGTCTGAGACGAACACCGGTGGTGGCTATAAAAGCCACCACCCCATCTGCGAAGAAAATAAGAGAGGACAGAAACTAAAAACAGAGAACGGAGAAGAAAAAGACAGAGAAAAGATAAAAAAACAAACTAATACCAACGATCTCAGCAGCAAAGAACCAGAAGAAAAAAAAGAGAAAAAAAGGAAGAAGAGACTTACCGAGGAAGCGTCGACCACCGGATCTCGTCAGAACCTTCGAAACATCGAAGGTATTTTTATAAGATTTGCTCCGATTAGGAGCCTTTTAAAGGAAGAGAACACCAGGACCGTCCTTAGGACGGTCCGATCTATCTATTCGTATAAAAATATTTTTTTCCGGCCACCGGATGCTGTGGCCGGCGGTGATATTCACGGCGGCCCACGGTGGCCGACCGGTAACCGGCTTCCCTCTGATGAGGGAAGCTAGAGAGAAGGCAGAGAGTTTAAAACTCTCTCAGTGAAGAGAGAGAAAAGAAAATGGAAAATGAAGGTTGGCCCTTCGGGCCAGCCGGTTTTGGACTCTTATAGTCCTTCCCGAACGACGTCGTTTCGGGAAGGACTATGCGCGTAATTATGAAATAGTTAAACCCCGTCCGCAGTCCTTCGTATTTGTAAATTTTACATTTTGGTCACTAAACTGAATTTATAATAATTTTAATTCAGTCTTTAAATTTTAATTTTATTCATTTTAGTCCTTTTTATTAAAATAATATATTTAGGATAAATGACAGATTTAATCCCTTAATTTTAATAAATAATTTTTTAATCCCTAGTTCATATTTTTAATTTATTTTATTATAAAATTCGAATTTTAAATAATTTTATTTTGGTCACTAAATTATTAAATTAGAAAATAAAATATTTAATCCCTATAATTTCAATTAATTAGGAATTGGATTTAGTTTTATTTTATTATAATTTAGTTATTTATTTTATATGTTTTCATTTTACTGCTTAAAATATATTGTTTTAGTGATATTTTTATTTTTATTATATTGTTAAATATTTTTATATATTCATAAATATACATATAATAAATAGTAATTTTTTAAAAAAATTTATTTTTAATATCGAAGAAAAGGATAGTCTTAATACAACTGGATGTCCTATTCTGATATTTTAAAATTAAAAAGTAAACAATATTATTTAAATTAATATTTATCAATATCAAAGAAAAGAGCTGTCTTAAGGCACCTAGAAGTTCTTTTCAGATATTTTTAAATAAATAAATTTTTTATATAATTTTGAAATAATAGAATTATAAATTAAATATATTTTTGAATTTTAAAAATTTTAATAATAGAGACAATTTATAAATAAAAAAAGTACCAATTTTGGGCGTTGTAGGGGTGCTAATCCTTCCCTAAACGTAAAAGACCACGAACCCCTTTTATTATTAAAAAAAATGAATTTTTGGTTATAAATGCAGATCAGTTTATTTTTTAATTGGTGTTTTATTAAAACTCTTTTAAAAAATAATTTTTAGGTATTCGACCTACCTGATCCAAAAGGCCGATGGCGACTCTCAAATTATTTTCAAAACTATTTATTCATATCAATTTTCCCGCCAAAATAATATTTCGTGCCCGGACGAAAACCGGTTACGACAAATGGTCTTTTTGACAAACATGAATAATTGTCGACTAAACAAACTGATTAAGAAAATTGTTTGGTATTTTTGAAAAACTCAATAACTGAAGCAACTAACATTAAGATATTCTGAATATTTATACTGCTTCTTTCGGTCAACGTATTAACTTGGATAAATCAGTTATATACTTCAGTATATAGACTATTGCATCTCATAGACAGAAAATGACAGCTATATTTGGGATTTAAGCGGTCGACTCCTTGGGGCACTATCTTGGCCTTTCAATATACGTCGAGAAGTCTTCCTAAAATCGATTGCCCAAGCTTTGTCGCAATATACCATGTCTTGCTTTTTGCTTCTGGAGAATTTACTTAATGAAATATCGGCAGTTATGCGACAATATTGGTGGACGGAGAAAATTTCTATTCGGGGTTGGCTGATCGTGGTTTGGTCTACTATCTAAGCCAAAATGCTAAGGTGGCCTAGGTTTAAGGGATCTCTACTCTTTCAACATAGCTTTGCTTGATGAGCAAGTTGGGCGACTTATTAAGTATCCTGATTGTTTATCAAGAGTTCTCCGGGCAAAATACTTTTCTTCCGACGATTTGTTGAATGCATCTATTAGTAATAGAAGCTCCTTCGCCTGGAAAGGCATTCACAAGACAATGACAACTCTTTCTGGAGCATTGTACTGGAGAATAAGTCGTGATAGTAACCTCAACTTGGTCTGGAACGCAGACAGTCTCGCTTACAGGGGATTATTCTATTTTTTCCACTAGACCGTTATAGTGATAAGATGGGAGAAAGCTAGAATTTGGAAGGTGTTCATCGCGAAGGATGTCGAACGTATTTTATCTACAACCATTGTGCCAACCGAGGAGGACACCTTGATATGGGAAACCACGATTCTGGTATCTATTTAGTTAGATCTGGATATTGGTGGACTTGATCTAGTGGAGTTTGTTCCAATTGATCATGACCTATGCCTTCCCGAAAACCTGGAGGATCCCTACTTTGAGTGGATCCATTGGCCTCAGGCATCGTTTCCTTTCTCAGAGGAAGAGCTCGAATATATATTCAATCTGGATCCATTTTGAGACTCCGAACTGCTTAGAATGAAGCTCCCAATGATTCGAGAGGCATGTCTACATGTCTTGGTTGTTTGCACTATTTTCCTCAAGAAAGCAGCAGTTTCCGGTTTGTGTTTAGCCGAGATTGGCGAGATGATGAGTAGGGAGTTTGGAGGGCAGGGGGAGGAGCCAAGTGAACTTGAATTCATATGTATTGAGGCAAGGAGAGTTTTCGAGGAAAGGAATATGCTTTATGATAATGTGAGAGCTATAGAGAACGAGTTTCAGTTTGAAATTGATTGCAAGGAGGGGTTCGATTTCACTTGTATTTAACAAAAGAAATTGGCATCCCATGCATACTGTTTCCACTTGGTAGAAATATCCAGAATCCACTTTCCAAGGTAGAAGAGAATGTAGAGGAATGGACAGATGAATATGCTTTTACTGCTCAAGACAAGGCTCCAAGACTGTCAATGACAATGAAAAATGCCAGCATTGGAGAAAAGAGTTGTGGAGGCTAACGCAGAAAAATGGCTATTTGTCTGGTACGTCATCCGGAAACCGAAACGATAATGAACTGGTAGCTGGAAGCACCAGTTTCGTGAAACTGGCTGATATGAGGGAAGATGAGTGAGTACAGTACCTTGAGAAGTTCCAGCGTTTGGTTTCCGAGGCATTTTTGAATCGTAAGCCGGGTTCATGCAAGTTCTGAGTTAATTAATGTGTAGAAATTTGAAGGCTAAAGTTATAAAGGTTTGAGGGTTGTTGGAACCAGAAAGCAAAACTGTTTTCAATGGTTAGTGGTTTGCTTGTAGGAGTAGGCAGTGGTCGAGGGAGTGTTTCACTTTAATTGAATGGAAACAAACATATAATTATAATTTTTGCCCATAGTCTGAATTCTATTAAGAGGTTTCTCCAAAAGGTTAGAAATTCTTTAAACAACGTATATCTAAGTATCTCTCTCCGGCATCAATTGGCAGAATGTCGGTTTTGGAGAAAAAGAAAGTAAACCCAAAACAGTGGAGGGAAGTTGCAGGTGTTCAATTAACCTCCTTCAAGCTAGCCATTTTGGTCAGTTCTACATGCTGCTCCTGTATCCGGCTCATAATTCGCGAAAAACCCATCTCAGTCATGGACATTGGGTCTTCTTTATCCAGGCGCCTCTTCTTTATCTTTAGGATAGCTTGTGTTACTTCGCCTATCGAAGGCCGCTTCCTCGGTGATTTGTGCAAGCATTTGTGAGCAATTTTGGCTAGCTGCCTCACTTCTTCGATACTGTATTCTCCAGCCAGTTGCTTGTCGAGGATTTCATCCACACCATCTGGACTCATAGAAGCCTTATAAAGAAATTTTACGTTATAGAAAGATTAATGCATGATCTACTAACAAGCAACACTTTTACTACACAGGAAGAAGAGACTCACAAGATTAACGTATTCCATTAAGTTTTGGTGTGGGTGGATGGCCGTGATTAGCTCGAAGATGATAACGCCAAAACTGTATACATCGCTCTTCATTGTGAACTTGTTTGTGGATATATACTCAGGATCTATGTAGCCATATGTGCCTTTAATGCCAGAGTTTCGGCCGTCGAAAACCTCTTCCTTTGACAGCCCAAAATCAGCAACCTAGCAAAAGGAACAATAGTAAAGTCATGTCGCTTAGTGTCCATTATTGTTATCTCAATCGTTTCAATAGATTAAAAAGAGAAGATTCGAAAAACATGAGACGTTGTACCGCTGCTCACCTTGGCTCTCATTGATTCATCCAACAATATGTTGGCGGACTTCAAGTCACGATGTATTACTGGAGGGATTGCCTGTCCAAGAATGGGTGATATTTAAGTCAAATAACAATTTTGTGTATCGATGGAGAATATCAACTTCGCATCATTCCATCATTACCCCTTCATGAAGATATTCTATGCCGTGTGAAATATCAAGGGCAATTTGAAGTCTTTCGTCCCAATTTAGACCGCGTTCCACTTCACCTGAGTACATATAGACCAGGTTGGTTATTGTTAAGGAATCACAATATTAGCCATACCATGCCATCTGGGGTCCAAACAAGATTAAAATCTTGATGAACTCAAAAGCTTGCTCACAGGAAACATTTAACAGAATTCAACTCAGTGCAACAAAATTACAGTAGGACGTTAACCATCAGAAAAGTGAACTCATTATTGATAAAAACATGGGTGGAAAATGCAAGTTGTCCATCAAGTTACATAATTTGACGAATCATTGAGCTAGTCAAAAGCCGCATTGCAGAATATTGAATATCCAAGACCCAAATATATGCCGACATTATATATTAGAATTACAGGATTATGTAACAACATAATCCCAAGTTCCAGTTTTTCTTGTGTTTAGAGAATGCAAGATAGCATGAGAGATCTCGGTCTATATATTGTAGTATAAAACAGAAAAGGACATTAACTGCAAGTCGGAGCCGTGATCCTTGATTACATCCACTGGAAAGTAAAAGTATGATTCTGCAAAAATTAACATGTTCTAGCACATATCTACGATGGACAAATATAAGACAAGAGCCGTGAAAAAAAGAAGTGGCTCCCAAGCTTACCATACAATAAGGTTGCCAAGCTTCCATTGCTCATGAACTCATAAATTAACATGTATTTCCCTTTATCCACACAATATCCGACCAAGTTCACAAGATTCCGATGATGCAGCCTTCCTAGTAGACAAACCTTAAAAAAGGGAAAAGAAAAAAGGTTTAATAGTAATTCTTTGTACATGATATGATTATTTACTAATAGTAAAATAATATCAAAATATTCAAAGAATGGAATTGCAATGTTAGCACCTGTCCAGATAGAATTATTTCAGAATGTAGGTTGCAGCAACTGTGTTATTTTAATCTACTTGTACAGGCTACCGAAACTTAATCAGCGATACATTCATGGACTTTTTCTCTAAATACTTCCATGCAAAACAAAGCCAAATAGTATTTTATAATTCAATTAATATATACCAGTTCTTCCTATCAAAAAAAAATATATACCAGTTCTCCAAACAGTTGGATTAATCCCGGCAGTACCATTAAGATAGAAAAAGACTTGCTGGAAACTATCTATTCCCAAGATTGTAGGAGGTGTCCTTTTACGTGGTTAGTGCAGCTTACCTCTGTGTGGAATTCTTTCTCACCCTGGTGAGAACCCGCAGCAAGCACCTTTACAGCAGCTACGCCACCAGTAGGCATTGTAGCTTTATAGACTGGACCAAATGATCCTTCTCCTAAAATAGTTGTAAAATTTTGTGTAGCTTTCTGTACATCCCTGAAAAGCACAATGAATAAGTTAAACTGAAATTCATATATCAATTTCTTATCATTATAGGAAACGTGATATTGGTAACCCTCTAAACATTAATTGACTTTGATATTCTACACAAAGTATAATGTGTAAGCTCAAAATAGACATGGACTTACTTATAAGAATACTTAGCCAAGCCAGAAGCAGAAGCAACCTGGTCTTTACAACGAGGACTCCACCAGGATTTCGGAGAACTTTTCTGATGATATTCTGGTACCTCGACAGCTACAGAATTCGAGAGAGATGCACTGAAGTCGGTGCTTGCACCAAAGCCATTTGTTCTTATCGGAAGAACTGTAACACTACGTTCATTTGAACGTCTCAGTTTTACATACTTTCTGTACCACCTTAGCCCGAAAAATACCAAAGAAGCTATCAAGATACCAAGGGCTAAGCCAACAGAGATGCCAATGACAACTAAGTCACCTTTATGAACCATGTTTTGGTCTCTCGAAGTGCCCAGGGGATGAGAACATCTTGCAATGCACAAATTCAGCAGGGCCACTGCATAAGATGAAAAAAATCATTATATCCATCTGTAGCAATTAAAAGCCAAGGAAAATGATGATAAAAAACAGTACCATTAAGACAAGGAAACCCTTATGAAATACGTACATGTACCATAATCAGACATCGGAACGTGAGTTTGTTGTTTGACATGAAGTTTAAACAGCTATCTAAAAAGGCACTAATCAGGCTATGTTTTCCATTGCTAAAAGATTGAGCTCTGTTTATATAATATCTTGAGAGTTGAGACAATCAATCAAACAACTATGCCGAAAGAACACCAGTGAGGGATTTAAATAGCGGCCCGCTATCCGGATAGCGGCCGTTATATAACAGTAACTGTGCTGTCTGAAACTGTAATTGCACGACTGCTACCGCAATCGATAATCGCAACGAAACTGCAATTTAAGTCCCTGCAGCTAAATAATAAACCTTTAATTCAAAGCCTGACTTTGCCTCGGCTAGCTTTGGCTATCCATATCTGACACTTTCGCCAAATCATTCACCCACCTTTTTAAACTTACCAATTCTTCAGAATCAAATTCGATACAGAGATCATGAAAACCCTTCAGATACTAAATAGGTTCTATCAAATAATTTACATTTAATTAAAAACCCAAAAGCTAATCGACATAAAGAAGAGAAAAGGAAAGAACCCAAAGAACATAAAACAGCCATAAAAGGGAAAAAAGAAGATATTTTTAAGCAAAGATAAGGAAAAAAAATTGCAAAGTAGGACATGAACCCATACCTTATGGGAAGATGCTGAGCAAGTGAAGAGGGAAAACATGAGAATTCATTGCATTGGGCTTTGATTAGTTAAGAGTAGAAGTTGACAAAAAGTCATGGATGAAAATGAAGTTGAAAAGAAAGAGTCTTGGTTGGTGGCTTTCAAGTTGCACATTATGAAAATGGATTTCCATTGAAGGGTGGCGACAATAAGCCAATAAGGCTAATGTTATAAAAACTCTTTTGGCTTCAAGAAAAAGAAGAAAAAAACTGTTTAGCCGGTAAATATAGGTTTAATTCACCCACTGCTTAGTTTTACAATGCTTCCATTTGCATTTACAACTGAATATGATTGATTGGGATGTTTTTTGTTGTTTTGATCGCTAAATTTATTTTTTTGAGTGGGATGAGCGAGCCCGTACGGATTCTAATCCATAGATAATGAAGCTAATTCATCTCCCTTTACTTTAAATGTTTTTTTATTTTTTAAATTCGAATAATCATATATAGAACTTGTATAATCTATTACTTAGAAAAATCATAAACATATATTATGTTATAGACACATTTAACTATTAAAAAATATAATACCAAAATATTTAACAAATTTACAAAAAAAAATCAAATTGTTGGAACCTAATTTCTAATTTATATATATGTTTTATTGAAGTGAATACATTTATAAGACTTGAATTTAAAACACTAAAAATATGAACCTTACCATTGAAAATATGGGAAAATTACGAAATTAATACAACTTTCAAGTTAAAACAATTTTTTTTTATTTTGGTTAAAAGAATTTCGGAAATTATTTTAAACTAAAATTTGCTTGTACCATGTAGGTGCTTCCAATTAGACTACTATTCTTTATGCAAAAATATTTATTAGACTTGGAGTTTCCCCCCTTATTTTCAATTAATTATTTTGACTTTATTCTTAGTCAAACAAAGTTCGAATCAAATTTTTTTATCATATTTTGGGGAATTTTTTCTTATATCTTTGCCCCCCCCCTTTAATGGAGTAGAGCAATTCCATGTTTAAAAATGGATTAGATGTTATCTCTGAACAATTATATATACATTTAATACGTTCAAACCATTAATCCACCTAATTAAGAAAAACTATTTTTTTAATTATTATACCATCCTAAAAAGTAAAAACTGAGTGTTTAGGTGGGTCTCATTTTTATATTACAGGTGATAATGGAATGGGTGAATGTTGTCGATTTTTTAATTATTATACCATAACAGGTTTTTTTATATACAAACCCTTTCAGAATGTTTGAATAAACCATTATAAAAGAAAAGAGAATAATAAAATAAAGGAAGATTAAGAAAATGAAATGATATATATTTTATTTCAGTAGTTCAAAGGGTAAACTACATAATTAGTAACTAATGTCTGAGTAAGTTTTTTTTTTCATTGAAATTTTGAAAGTAATAAATTAATTACTAGCGTTATTGATTTGTAACAAATTGATTACTCAACGTTATTAATAGTTATTGTAGGTGACGAAAAACTAATGTAACACCTTAATCGACTGATCTGGCAACCAATACACTAGGCAAGACTGCCCATTTAACTTCTGTTGACTGCAACTTCGTTTGAAAATGTTTCTCCAAATAAATTTTTCTGATAAGTTTGTTTAATGCAAAAAAACCATCGTTTTCCACTTCTTGGTTTGAATTAATAATCATTTTTGCAAGTGTAAATTTTAAAGTGAAAATAAGTTGTTTGAGAATATTTGTGTTTCAAATGAAGTTTTGGACTAAAAATCACTTTCATAGACATTCCTAACAACCCCTTAGAGAGAAGCATAGCTCATGGAATTGTTGACTCTTTTATCACGGTTTTTGACATATCCATACGATAGCACTGTCCGATAATAATATTGTATATGGTATGGCGGTGACTCCGATTTTGGTTCATCTTTTTCTTTTTGTCACTGTTGACATCAGTAACGCTCACCAGCTCCGTATGCCCACGCTCTTTCTTAGCAGACTTGTTAGCTGATTCTTTTATATTTGGGAAATCAACAACGATTTTCAACATCTTATTAGCAATATTTGTCTCCATACATAGTTACCTTCACTGCCATCTTTTTGTGAAAAAAATCGATTAAATTCATAACATTTTTAATGAGTTAACATACACATTAAACTAATAAATTGTTTTTGTTACATATTAAACTAATAAATTGTTTTTGTAAGCAACAAACTAATTCAATAGCTAAGGGATAGTTGTATCCTTAAAAATCATATTCCCGAGTTCGAATACCAGTGGATATACTATATTTAAATGTTTAATATTAAATTATTAAGAGTCTCTAAAATATATATTATCATATATACTCATCTTAAACTAATAAAAAAATTATATGATTCGTTTCCATTATCTCAGCCTATTCTGAATAAATTTCAAAATCAAATTAATATCATATGATAGCTATTATTATTATTATTTTAAAATGGAATTAAATAAAAGAAAATAAAAATACTGACCAACATTGACGATGAAGGATGTTAAACAAGCGTCAATTTGTTTGAGAAAAGCACTTTGTTGAGCCTAATCATGGACCTGAACCCCATATCTCAATCTCCTTCTTACCCTTCACGTATGGCTCATACATTTTAGGTACTACCAGAACCAGCACACCGTCACGCATCCAAGCCTTAATCTCATCGCCCTTGGCGTTTCGTGGCAGACTGAATTGCCTCAAAAATTTTCTTCCCAATCTCCGCTCTCGGCAATGCCACCGCGTCTTCCCGCCTTTCTCCTCCTCTTCTTCTTCATCTTTTATTTCGGCACTGACGTCAACAGCTCTCCCTTCATGAATTTGTAGCTTCACGTCCTCCTTTTTGACGCCGGGAAGATCGATCTCGAAGATGTGGGAGTGCGGAGTTTCTTTCCAGCCGAGTGTCGCCGGTTGTTTCCGAGAATATCCCGAAAGGATCGAAGACTGATTCGGGCAGAGACATTATTGCTGTATTGTGTGATGTAAGGTATGTTCTTTTTCTAGCTGTGAAGAATGTGTGTTATTCGCTTCATATATATATATATATATATATATATATATATATATATATATATATATTGTAGGCTTTGATTGGAGAGGAGCCCCTTCTCGAAATTTCTGGTGTTGGAGAAGAGATCATAATAGAATGTTGGAAAGAGTGTTTGTTTGGTCAACAGTTTATTCTATATTATTAAAAAGGTTTAATTTCATAATGTCTCCTGAAGTTTATCAATTTTATCAATGTGATATTTCTTCTATTTTAGAATCTACAATATGATACTGATAGTAAATGCGATGCTCGTTTCATTCAGATCTGATAAATTTTGAATCGACTCAATTTGAGGATCGTTTTTTATTTTAAAATGTTAGATTCAAATTAAATCAAATTATGTTTGGAATAAATTTAATCTGATCCAATCTGAATTGATATGATATGATATAATATTGCAATTATCTATTACATTTATATCTTATGGTTTTTCTCCTGGATACGTGTGGACCTCTATTGCATACTTTCTCTGTTATGCAAGTTAAAGATGTATTTTATCATATATATTTTTCTTGCATTTTGGGTGAAGTTTAGTAAACCAATACACTTTAAACTCTGATTTTTTTATTTTTATAAATATGATATTTTTTATATGTCGGTATACTGGGTGTTCGGTGGTCTGGGTGTTAAGATTTTTATTGATTTTGGTGATGCTTTAACGTTAAAAGATTTCAATGTAATGTTAAATGATCATTAATAATCCCTTAAATTTTGGAATCATTTATGACTCTACAATAAGTTTTTGAAGATGTTTTGGGAGTGATTTTAAGTTTTATGGATGTTTGTTTGCCTCTTAATGGAATCATTCAGCGCGTTTGTTTCGCACATCTGAATTATTCAGCACAGAAGTACATTCTGAATGATTCAGAGCCATTATCAAACAACATGTCACATTCAGAGCTAATTCATACAAAGCCTCTGAATCATTAAGCATTTGAATCATTCAACGCTTAATCATTCTGAAATAAACAAACAGCCCCTTAATACTAATTTTTCATATTGTACTGTTAATATTGTTGATGTGTTATTGATAGAGTACAAATTTAATCTTGAAAATTTTGAGTTTTAAAATGTCAATATCAACGTTGATTCATGTAGTATCTATATTGTTCATATAATATCGATATTTGTTTAAACATTATCAATATTGAATGATTCATGAGATTTTAGTGTCCTATTTTGAAATTGATGTCATCAATTCAACGCCGATACTTCTTTTTTTGGTATTGCTATTAATGAGCGAGTATTGATACTCAAATATTCATTTTTCATAATCAAGCATTTATACTCTCCAGTGTTAGAAAACATAAATACTTTTAGTTTTATTTTGAATATCTACACATCAAAGTGAATAAACAAACTTTATAAGAATTTTATGATTCATGAAGTGATTATAATCTTAAGCGATATAAATGATGAAAAGACCATATGGCCTAATAAATAAGTTTTAAATTATTAAAACACAAAAAACGAGTAAAATGCTCTTGTGAATTTTGAATGATATAAGAAACCTTAAATGCATAATAGCATTGCTAATGTTTTTTAATTTAAATATTAATCAAACGGATCATTTGTTTCTCCAATTTCTATACTTGAATACCTAATGTTTTTCTCAATGTTTAATCCTAGTTCTATCTTTGAACCTAAAGCTTCACATGATTACTCCTTACACGTGATAATGGTTCAGACACCACAAGCTAAATGAGCTTAAAGTTATTGTGTGGTTGCATTTTTTGTATCGTTGATGATGTTGAAAAGACTATAAACGCCTCACAGCCCGATGAATCTCAGTATAATAACTTGATAAGATTTATTGAGGATCATATGCTATTAAATTTATACACCAACAATACAGTAAAAATGAAATACATAAATTAGATGGTATTCAATGTGATCGTTACCATTGGGAAAGTTCCAAAAAGAACAAGACAAATCCATAATTCTCGCCAACTATTTTGTATTGTCGTTACGAGGACACGTGTCACTCTGCAACCTAATCAGTCACCATCGTTCGGCCCGTCCCCATCTTTAATCAGTTCCCATACAGCACACGTGCTGTCTTTCCGTTTTCTCGCCGGAGTTTACTCCTCTAACCCTAAAAATACTCTCCAGATTTTCTCTCCCCCCAAACACTCCCACCAACTTCCAAATCTGTCTTTCTCTCTAACTTCTAACACGATTTCAAGCAGAAGCAAAGGGAACCCATCAGTATTTTTTACTCCTTTTGGTTGACTGAAGAAAGTTTTCGTTTTTTTTTTCAGGAACAAATCCATCGTTTTCTCTATCACCAAGAAGGAACAGATAGGACCCCATTACTATTTTTCTTATTTTTGTTTCTTCCCAAAAATGTTCATGCTTTGCAACTCAAAATAAAGAGCTGGTTTTCTTTTCTTTCTTTTTCAATAATGGGAGTTGTGACATCAACGATGGCGGCCAAGTTTGCATTTTTCCCACCGAATCCGCCTTCGTATACGGTGGTCGAGAGTGGAGGGAAGCTGGTAATGAGTGGGGCGCTGGCAAGGGAGAGCGTCGATGTGTTAAAGGTGGGAACCAAGAGAGGGAATGAGGTGGTGGCGGTGTATATGAAGAACCCTGGAGCTGCGTTGACTGTTCTTTACTCACACGGGAATGCGGCTGATCTGGGTCAAATGTATGATCTTTTCAGTGAACTCAGTTTACACCTCAGAGTTAACTTACTGGGGTAAGTTATAACCGCTAATGAGATTTTTAATTTACGGTTAATCTCTCGTTTCCCTTTTTAATCAAAATTTCCCCTTTTTTGCAGTTATGATTATTCTGGGTATGGGCAGTCAAGTGGGAAGGTATGGGTGCATGTTGACTTTTATTTTTTAATTACACATAGTGATTTGGTTGGTTGGTGGGGAATAGTGGGTGAAGGAAGAAGTTTTTGCAGGTTGGATCTTTCATTCTGTAGGGGTAGTAATTGAGAAAGTCCTTAATTTTCTTTTGGTGATTTCTTTTATGATTTTCTAGATGTCAGAAAATGAGAACTTTTTAAGGCCTAGGAATTTATGTTATTTTAGCTGTTTTTAAGGTTTTGTTAATGGAAAGGTGAATCTCATACCATCTTATGCTTACTGGTATAGCTAAATCTTTGCTTATTTACACATAATAATGTTTACATCACACAATTTTTATAACAAAAAACGAGTTCAAATTCCTACTCTCAAGTTAATGATCTCAATCAAAGCATAGTGCCTTGGATTATTCAGCAAAGACAGCAATGTTTTATATAAATCACTGCACTTGTTTGGTTTGGCTTAGTTCTGAACATCGTAAATTAGTACAACCCTAATAATAAAGCATTTTTGTTTATTCTTTTCTCATTTTCCAATTCCTGACAGCCAACTGAGCAGAACACCTACGCCGACATAGAAGCTGTATATAGATGCCTTGGGGAGAAATATGGAGTGAAGGAGGAAGATGTTATCTTATATGGTCAATCAGTTGGAAGTGGGCCTACTCTAGATCTCGCAACTCGGTTGCCTAAACTTAGGGCTGTGGTTCTTCACAGCCCAATCTTGTCTGGTCTGAGAGTAATGTATCCAGTGAAGCGAACTTACTGGTTTGACATATATAAGGTTTTGCCAACTTTAGATGCACAATTATATAGCTTAATGTCTTAATATGTCGTCACCTACCTTGTTTTAAGAATACTTTCTTGAGGTTTCTTTCCCTGTTCATGATGCAGAATATTGACAAGATACCATTGGTCAACTGTCCTGTTCTAGTAATCCATGTGAGTATTACCTTGATTTGTTTGTAATATTTACTTTTCCTGGTTGTTGGATATTTGTAAATGTTTGTGCACTATGATAGGGTTCAGTCAGGTACGGGTGATTCATTGTTCAAATTGAAATAAAGAGAAAAACAGAGTGGTTGGCTGCATCGCATTCATTTCCTTTTTAAGATATCTCTCCTATTTCTTTATTTTCCCTTGTAGCTTTTGCGTATTCCTAGTTCCTATATTTTATGTATTTGATAATGCAGTTCCATTGAGTCTAAGAGAATGAGTGTGAGAGAGAAAAACGTAGAGAGAGAGAACTTGAAAGAAAAATTAGTTTCCGATGAGAGTTGGTCGGCATTTGTCGACAATCTCAGTAGGAGGGTTTCTCGACGAACTTTAAGGGAAATCTTCTTAGTTCATGGTCTTGTTATGAGAGTCTTTATTCCCAAAGAAACAAGAAATCCAAAATACTAATTTTCCAACTTTGCTTTCATTCATTTTAAGAGTGAGGCAGGTTTGAAGAGGGTTGTTGATGATTTAAATGGTGTTCTGATAGACGGAACGAAGATCACAGTTAGTCCTGAAAGATATAAGGATGCGCGTTCAAGTTTAGGGGGGAAGCATATTTTTTCAAACAAGATCTCCAATCAGAATGTTGTAGAATCTTCAAAATCAAAAGAAGCAGGGAACTCTAACAGAAGCATAAAGAACGACATAACTTATAAAGATGCTTTGATGTCAAATAGATGCGCAATGGGGAATAAGGAACTGTTATCTGATGATCTACACAGGAGGAATGTCAAGAAAAATATCTTGGAAATGCATATCCCATCAGAAAGTTCAAACTGGGCTAAAAGGTCATTGACGGGGATTATTAAACATTCTTTTCAGATTGAGTTTATTCAGAAGGCCTTAGTTAAGGATGGTTATGATGTCCAAATTGCTAGATAGGGCTATGTATGGAACTCTTGCGTTATAGTTTTTAAATCATATGAAGAGATGTTGGACATATGGATGAAGAGGAAAGAGGATTTAGAACAATGGTTTGATCGAGTGGAACCATTACTGAATGATGAGGGAGTTCCAATGGCCTTCTGTTTGGTGGATTTAATTGGGGTACCTTTGTTATGCTGGAATGAATCTTTCTTCGAAAAGATAGCAGGTAGATGGGGAATAGTGGTTGACATACTTGACGCTACTAGGAAAAGAGAAGACCTCACAATGGCAAGAATTTTAATGAGGGTGACAAGCCTCTTTGATGTTCCAGATGTGATTACACTTGGATCATATGGAAGATCCTTTAAAGTGTGTATCAAAGTCGGATCGGCATGTGAGTATTCAAGCTCATTTTTCAGCAATTTTCCGGCAGAAGGTTCCAGTGGGGGACTGTTTGAGGAGATGATGTATGTAGAGGATGAAGACAGAGTGCTGTCAGATAGTGGGACAGTAGCAGCATGTGCAGCAGAAAAAAATCGGCTGAGAGTTGACAATTGGATTGATCAGGGAGTTTTTCCTGGTTCTGGAAGAGTTGGTGAGGATATGCAGCTACCAAGACTTTCCTTGGATAGGAAAGGCATTAAATGTGGGCTGCCAGAAAGTCAGAACGTTGGGAGTATATAAGTGGGAGAGTTTGTCGGTTTGGGGATTAGAAATTCAAATTTATCGACTGATGGATCACAGGCCCAATCTGAATATTCTGGGCAGTCTGGGTTAAAAGGTTTCAAGGTATTTCCTATTGGGCCAGCATTTACAATAAACAGGCTTGGGAAAATGGTTCATAACCTTGATTTAATAGAGAAAGGCAGTAAAAGGATAGTAAATTTGGATATCCTAAATTTGGAGAAGAGTCCAATTGTAGAACAGCATGTCAATGCAGGAATAACGGTCGAAGAAGAAGATTTAAGGCTGGTTGAATCCGTTGCAATTAATTCAGGAAATAAATCAAGGGGCAGACAATTATTCCGACACAGAAGACCGTCTCCAATAGAGAGTGATATGCTAGAAACCAGGAGCATGAGCAGTTATAAAAGGGTCTATAAGAGGTCGAGGGACAGGAAACATTGGCACGGGAATATACTGAATTTCATGCCTGAAGCAGATGAAATCATAGTTAGTCAGGGAAGGATAGATGTGGAACTTAGTGCTAATAAACAAATTTGTTTACCAGCAGAATTGATTACTAATGGGAGCAAGGATCCTACTATTGACAGAGGTTTAGTGGATGGGAGCGAGGATAGAGAGATTGAAGGCTGGTTTTCAGAAGGAGACTACTCAAGATTCAAATCTGGTTTGCTAATCAGAAGAGCTAAAAGAAATTTGTTAAGGGAAGCCCTTGAACAAGTCAGCATTGAAACAACCTCCTCTTCAGCCTTCTTGGATTTAATGGAGGAAGCTTTAGCTACTTGGGAGGTTAGCAAGCTTTTGGGGGTGTTTTTTAAGGAAGGGAAAGAAGCCTTTTTGGAAAAAATATGATTTTAGAGAAAGGTTTGAACAAGGTTAATCAAGGTGATGTTGGAAGAGGTGTTTAGTTTGTTTTTCTTCTTATAATGTTGAAGACAAAGTTAGTTATATGCTCATGGAATGTAAGGTGTTTGGGGAAAAAAGAAAAAAAGAGAGTTGTTCAGAATTTAGTTTCTAACATCTATCCTACTTTTCATTGGCTGCAAGAAACCAAGACAGAAAATTTAGAGGTCTTTTTTTAGAAGTGGGCTAAATAATCTTAAAGGTGTTATAGAATCTCATTCGATCGGATCCTCATAGGGTTTATTGTGTTGTTGGGATGATAATATTTTTGTGCTGGAAAATTAGTATGTTAGCAGGAGAATTATAGCTATCTTTGGTAATTTTCGAGCCAACAATTACAGTTGTGGTTTCATCAAAGTTTATGGTCCATCAGTAGAGGAGGAGAAATCCAATTTTTTTGAAGCATTAAGTGTATTCTTAAGTGGAAAAATTATCCTGTTTGTGTTGGAGGGGATTTAATGCTTATTTACATGAAGAAGAGAAGGTTGGTAGAGGTTAAAACAAAAATTCAATGGAGATCTTTAGTTAGTTTATTTTTCATTCTGGTCTAATTGATCTGCTTATGAATGTGGGTAGGCTTACTTGGTGTAATAACCAAAATAATCCCACTTTTGTAAGATTGGACCGTTTTTTGGTTGGTAGTCAATTTTTGGCTATATTTCTTGATATTGTTCAGTCATTTCTCCCAAGGTTCGTGTCAGACCACAACGCGATAGCTCTTGCTAATGAAGGTGTGGATTGGGGTAAAAAATCGTTCAGACTATTTAACTACTTGATGGAGGAGGAGGGTTTTGAGGATTTGGTTAAATCTTCAATTCAAAACTGCAAGTTAATCCAAAGGAAAGCTGGTGTGTTTAGTCTATTGAAGAGTACTAAATATCCAGGAGCTTTGATTTATGAATTAGAAAAGAAAATTCACAAGTTAGAGGTTGATATTCAACAGCAACAAGTTGTTATTGACAGTGATGTAATAGCAGAATTGAACACCCACATACCAGAAATGTGGAAACTTTTCAGAATTCAGGACCAGATTTGATTTCAGTATTCAAGATAAAAATGGATAGAAGATGGGGATCGTAATACTAAATATTTCCATACTTGTGCTACAGTGAGAAAGAAGAGGAATGCATTGGTTGCCCTAAACATTAGGGGAAAAACAGTTGAAGACCATACTGCAATTAAGGCCATAGTAAAGGATTATTTCTTTAAAATTTTCAATGACGGATCCACATTAGAAATTGATGACATAATGCTGGATTTTTCCAGAATTTCTATAGATCAGAGTCAGGCCTTAGAAAAAGAATTTTTTGAGGAGGAAGTTTGGGAAACTTTGAAGTCTTGTGATAGCAACAAATCTCCGGGCCCATATGGTTTAAATCTGGGATTTTTCAAGAGGTTCTGGCATGTCCTTAAGGAAGATATTATGAATTTCTTTCATAATTTCTATTTGGGGAATGAATAGGAACATGGAATTAATCATACATTCATCACTCTCATTCCAAAAAAACTCGAACATTGGTGGCCTAGATGATTATAGACCTATAAGCTTAGTTGGTGGTTTATACAAGATCTTGTCTAAGTGTCTATCGAGGAGACTAAGGTGTTGTATTTCAGATATTATCAGTCCATCTCAATTCGCTTTTATCCACAGTTGACAAATTTTGGATTGCTCCCTAATTGATAATGGGGGGATTGACTTTTGGAGGAAGAATGGTTTAAAGGGTTGTGCTTTTAAAGTTGATTTTAAGAAGGCATATGATACAATTGACTGACCTGTTTTGTTCAAAGTAATGAGGAAAATGGGCTTTGGTTCTAGATGGAGTGGTTGGATTTCGAAATGTATCACAACTACTATTTTAGTCTTGGTTAATTGGGTTCCTTCTGAGGAATTCCCAATGGCTAAGGGTTTTCGCCAAGGATGTTCCATGTCTCCTTTATTGTTTAATTTAGTTGGGGAACTTCTGAATTTACTGATTCTTAAGGCAGTTTCAGCGGGGTTATTTTTGGGTATGGTTCTTAGAAGGGAAGAGGGGATTTTTAATTTATCTCATCTTCAATTTGCTGACGATCTCATAATCTTCTGTGGTGCATCGAAGAAGGAGATTTTGAATGTGAAGAGGGTGCTCCGAGTGTTTGAAGTTATGTCTGGTCTCCAGTTGAATTTGAAGAAGTGTAAATTATTTGGGGTCAATTCAAATGAAGATGAAATTAAGGAATGGGCAATGGCTATTGGATGTTCAGTTGGTAACTTTCCTTCAGAGTATTTGGGACTTCCTCTTGGAGCACACAGAAATTCTACACTTCTGTGGGAACCAGTGGTTCAGAGTTTCAATAAGAGGTTAGCGGGCTGGAAGGCATCCTCTCTTTCTCTGGTAGGAAGGTTGGTTTTAATTAAATCAGTCCTATGTTCACTCCTTACATATTTTTTGTCATTGTTCAAGGTTCCAGCCTCGGTCTACAAGTCACTAAATTCAATTATGTCCAATTTCTTATGGGGTGAAGGAAATGGTAAAAATAAGATTCATTGGGTGAGTTGGTCTACTGTGTGTAAACCAAAGATTGAAGGTGGTTGGGGATTCCGAATTTAAATGTGGTAAATAGAGCACTTTTGGAAAAATGGGTTTGGAGATTTGCCAATGACAGGAAGGCGGCTTGGAGGAAAATGATTTGCACTAAATATAACATGGACTCATCTTTAATGCAGTTCGATAGTAATATTACTCCTAAGTTTTCTTGAATTTGGAGATCTATGGTGAACAATTATTTCAAAGAAGATACTGCTGGCTGTAAAATTAGAAGCAAGTATAGTTATCAAGTTGGTGATGGGCGAATTATTCAGTTTGGGCTATGGATCATCCATTAATGGTCATTTTCCCTAGACTGTTCTCTATTTCAGTAAACAAAACTGGTAAATTATTCCAGTTTGGTGAGTATAGCTTTTGGGGCTGGTTTTGGAATGTTCAATTGAGAAGGGAATTGATTGGGAATATGAGCAATGACTAATTTGATGGTTGTCATTTCGAATTTTTCCCTTTCTGTTGATTCTTCTGATGGACTGGTTTGGAAGGGCACTGGAGATGGGGTATTCTCTGTTAAATTGGGTGTTAATCTGTCATTCGGGTACTTCGGGTACGGAGGAAGCTCATTTTTGGAAGAATGTTGTTTGGAGGGGCCTGTTGCCTCCAAAAATTGAGACATTTCTGTGGCAAGTGATTTTACAGAAGCTGGCAGTGAAGATAGCTCTGGTTAAAAGAGGTGTGAAGGGCATTGATGATATTTTATATCCTTTTTGTAAGCTAAAGGAAGAGTCCCCCTCTCATTTATTTTTTTCTTGTTCGGTGGCTTGGTTAATCTGGAATAAATTCATGAGTTTCTGGAACATTCAATCTGTTTTTCACGCTGATGAAAAAGCTTTCTCCTAGCCTGGGCTGATTTGAGGATCAACTCTCTTATATGGTCATTCATTCCAGGAGTGGTCCTATGGTTTTTAGCAAAAAATAATCAGGCTTCTATCTCCAAGGATTCTCTTATTGTTGATCTTTCCTTAGGGGATTCTTGCTTGCCCCACTCTAATATGCTTTTATCTAAGTTTCCTTGGTCCCCTCCTCCCAAGGGCTTCATCAAACTAAATGTCGATGCTGCTAATACTAGTGATTGGAAGAGAAGCGAGTTAGGTGGTGTCCTAAAAGATATGTATGGTTCGATCCTAGGCTCTTTCAAAGAGTCTGCTGGTCCGGGGCCTCCTACCTACATGGAATTGAAAGCTATCCTAAAGGGCTTATCTTTTCTTGACTTTATTCGACAGAGGTTTAAGGATCGTTTGATTATTGAGAGTGACAGCAGAGTGACAGTTGACTGGGTTAAGGATGTGGTTTTATGTCCTGATTTTTATGCTCACACTGTTAAAGACATTATTCAAAAGCTTAGATATTGTGAAGGTGTTATTAGATGGGTTAATAGGACAACTAATCTAGAGGCAGATGCCCTAGCTAAGGCTAATATTGGTTGATCCTTGTGTTGTTCTTTGGGGATTTTTTTTTTGGTTTTCTATCTCCTTAAGGGAGTTTTAGGGTGTTGTATTCCTATGTACTATTTATAATGTTAATGAAATCCTAGGGCACTCTTTTTATCCTTCCGCTGATTAAGGAACTATCTTCAAACTCCATTAATCAAGAAAGGGGTTTTTAATGAGGCCCAACATTCTTATCAAAAAAAATAATGCAGTTCCATTCTAACGAACAATTGCATAGGAGCTTATATTCTTCTTGTTAATTGTGTTTGTCCTTATCGGTCGCAACCATGCAAACACTACGCATAAAATTTGAAGCCTTATAAAAAATTAAGAACATACCATATGGACACTGTAGTTATGGTGTTTTTGGATAGGGCAATAGGAACAGGTCCTTGAAATGCTGTAGTTGATATTCGCTTGTTTGAATAACTGATCTGTAAATTTAGAAATCACCCCAAAATATACATTCTACAACATTCTTTTAAATTAAATAGATCTGATGAAAATTTAACGAACCTGATAGATATTTGAGGAAACACGTATATTTAATAGATAAAATGGAATAGGTATCTTGAGTTGGAGAGTGAAATATGAAGATCCGCTGATCATGAGGAAGAAAAAGAAAAAAATGACAATGATAAATAGTGTTGTTGTCCTATCAAAAAATAAATAAATAGTGTTGCTGAATTTCACTGGAATTTGAAGAAGATTCCAGTGTTTATGGAAAATGAGATCTTTTATGTCGTTTTTGCCTTTTTCACAGGTTTGCTTTCATTTTGGCATCTTTGGTGAATAATCTGTAGACTACACTGTTGGAGCCAATACTAGACTGGCAGTTCGAAAAATGCTTTCTGAATTTCCCCCTTATTTGTTCTCATTTTGACATATTACATTGGTCTATAAGTTGTAAACTGTGTACTTGGAGCTTATAATAGACTGGCATTTTGTAAAATATTTTTTGCAATTCCTCTTGCTTTGTTCTTATTTTGATGTCTCATGTAGTTCTATAAGAAAACTGTGTACTTGAAGCCTATAATAGACCTTCGACGGTTCAGAAGATACATTCTGCAATTCCTCCTGCTTCCTACTGTTTTTGACGCTTTACATATAAATATGTTCAGGAATTCCTTAAAATTTGCCATTTTCGAGGGCTTTCATATACCATTTGCTCGACTCTAGGATACTCTAATTGCTTGATCCAATATTGAAAATGATGTTCATCCTCCTTTTTGCCTAACTTTTTGAAGACTTAATCTATCTTGAATTACCAGACACATGGATTGTGATGTTTGTGATTTGTAAATAATATGATCAGAGAATTAGGCAGGTCCTTTTATGTACACAATTTTTCATGAGTGTTCAAATATCTTGTCAGTGACTCGAAACTCCAAAAGTTTGTGAGTTGGAGTTGTCATTGACAATCTTGAAATGATTGTTGCATCTTGCCGCACATGCTATTGGAACTTGTAATCCGGAATGTTTCGTTACCTCAAATGTGCTTGTTAAGCTAGCATTATTCACCTGTTTTTGTTGTATTCCAGGGAACGGGTGATGATGTTGTCGATATTTCCCATGGTAAGCAGCTTTGGGAACTTTGTAAAGAGAAATATGAACCTTTGTGGGTTAAAGGCGGGAATCATTGTGACTTGGAACTATATCCACAATACATCAAGCATCTCAAAAAATTCATTTCAGCCATCGAGAAATCTCATCATAGAAATGGGTCTGCCCCAATTCCTGGTCAACCAGAGAAACCTCGTAACAGCACAGATTTCAGGGAGACATCCAGACCAAGCACAGACCAGAGGGAAAAGACTAGGGCCAGTACTGACCAAAGAGAAATGCCAAAGTTAAGCACTGACCGTCAAGAAAAAGCAAGAACCAGTATCGAGAGAAGAGAAAAATCAAGAAAGAGTGTTGATCGACCTGACAAATTATGTAATGGAAGCTCTGACCAACCTGAGAAAGCAAGGATCAGTATTGATCGGTTAGTTTGAATTCATGCTCACAATTTCTCTACCTTTCTTTTGAGTTATAATGTCACGAGTCTTATGAGAAAGTGGTTTTATTGGCTGTTGTGATTGAATTCTGCAGCTTTGGGGAGATTATGAGATCTGTTGGATTGTGCAATATTGGTTGTTTCAGGCCTACTACAGCAACGGGTAAAGACCAGTCTGCTGATTGAGGTTGTATTTTAGATTCCATTTTATTTAATTTGATTGGTCCATAGTGTTGTCCGGGGTGATACGAAAAAGTATAATGTTTTATTTGCCATAACTTAAGAGATTTAATCGGGGCAAACGGTGTATCGTAATTGGTTGCACTTTTGAGTTGATAAATCCCTTCATGCTCTCACCTTGTTCCACGTGTGTATGCTGAAATGGTAATGTCTTTATGCCATTACAGCTCATGGTTTATCATAGGATGTGTATTACCTTAATATGACTGTACTATGATAGATGAGCCGGATTGGCGGTTTTGCTGTCCTTGCATGATTATGGCATGTTCGATGCTATGATCGTAGTCTTCTCATTTAATCCATGCAGCATATAGGATTTATAATAGTCTTTTAGGGCATTTCTTTAAGGGGGCTTAAGGTTGCCTGCAAATCCTTTATTTTTTATGTTTGCCGTTAAGCAGTATCACATGTTTGCCCGTTTGTGCTTGCATGGCTATGCTGATGTGCACATCCGAACCTATGCTTGTTGGATCGGTTTTAGGAAAATGAAGATGTTGAAATTCAGGACTGGCAGAATTCATATTGCTTATTTCTCATGAAATCTCTAGTGGAGATTGAGCTGTGTGCCATGAGGCAGGAAAACTGACGTTATCTTGTTTTGTTTAAAAGTTGTTCGAATGTGGATCCTCTAGGGAAAATAACATTTCCTTTTATCTTAATACATTGTTTGATAGTGTTTATTGGTGATTTACTTACCGTTACCGTGCCACACGAGGTTCGCTATTTGAATCCCTGACATTTCGTTGTTCCTTATCATATATGATAACAAGAAACTTGAGTATGGTTTTATGTTAAGATTGAGGAATGACAACATACTCGGTAAATTTTAGGGTAGAATATATAAATGATTATTAAGTTAGGCTGAAACGATCTTTTGGTTACTGAAAGCTTTGAACTGCTATAATGATCATTGTACATTATAAGGTAACGAATAATGATAAATTTTATAATAGTTTGATAAATTTAGTAACTATTTTATAATCAGTTTATAGTCATTTAAGAAAATTTTGTAATCATCTTTTTACTTTCAAAATTTTAAGAACCTACTTGAACATAATTAAATAATTATTTATCACTTTGGGTTAAATTTTATATAATTTTTGTTTTAAGCCCAAAGAAAATGCGCAGAACATATTTGGATGCCCTTGACAATATTACATTGTATTACTTTTTAAAATTTATTTTTAAATGGGTAATATATATCTACATATATAGTTTTCTTTACCGACGAACTTTTTTTGGATGAATTTTTTAATTAGGGTTGCAACACAATGACTTCCTAAGAGGTCACCCATCTTAGAATTACTCGCCTATGTATGCTTAGCTGCGGATTTCTGATAGGATTCAGTACATTAGTACTGGTATAATCGCATCTCTTTACCAACAAACTTTGACGTCTAGAATGTATGCTTTTGATTAGGGGGGAGCGTTTCATCGAGTTTAGTCAAAATATTTAAAGTTATTTAAGTTGACGAGTCTTATTTTACAATTTAGAGTTGACTTTAAATTTTTTCAAGTTTAGTTTATAAATTCGAATTGAGTGGTGTTAAATTTTTGAGTTTTTATTTAAATATAATTGTAAATAGTTATAATATTATAATATTATTTGATTCCAATTTAAATGATATTTTATAATCATATACAATACATATATATATATATATATTGTATTTTTTTCATATGTGATTTACATATATACAAAATCGAGATACTCAACTTAAACTTGAAAATTGATATACTAATTATCAAAAATTTTGAGTTATTCGAGTTGTATTTTACAACTCGATTTGAACTTAAAATTTTTTCGAGTCGAATCGAGTTTATGAAATTACAACTTGAAATCGAATCGAGTCGAAAATATCAATTTTTTTGAGTCAAATTGAGTTTTGTTCACCCTTATCTTCGATGCTGCGCTGGAGGTTTTGTTTGAGAAAGGTTTTGTACGTTTGGTCAGTTTTAATCTAAATTCAAAATTACTTCAATTCGAACTTTTAAACTTTAAACTTCAACTTTTGTATTTTTAAATAACTTTTTTTTAATATATTTTTATTCTCAATTTTTTATTATTTTGGTACTTAAAAATTAAAATAACGAGTATAAATAAAACAATCTAATTAGTTAAGGGATTGATGTTATCTTTTGACTTTGAGATTTTTAAATTCGAATATTACGTATGTATGAATATAAACGTGTATTCTCAAACAATTGATAATTTTTGAATTAATATTACCTTGTATTTCATTCAGGCTTATAAAATAAATCAAAATAACAAAACTGATAAAGTTGAAGGGTACAAAAGTCGTTCTACCTTTTTTTTCCTATAATATCCCGCTTGGCGCATGTACCATCCAATGTTTTCAAAACCGGATCGGACATTGAACCGGTAAAGGTACTGATTCACTGGTTCAACCGGGTTCAATCGCTGTTGAACCGGATTTTATATAAAATAATATTTTTTTAATTTTACATAATATTCAAAGTAATATTAATATATATGTAACACTTTTTTTAAGTTTACAATATTAAAGGGTATAAAAATATCACAAGTCATAACATGTATAAATGAAAAACCATAAAATCAAGTGAAACAAAATGATTCAAATCAACTACAACATAATATTTAAGGTATAACATATTAAATAATAAATATAATTATATAACTATAATCAAAAAAATAAAATTGTGACTTAAAAAATCATAACAAATAATGTCATTTGGTTTAATTGTTTTAAAAAAACAATCCCACATGGCTAAGAAACATAGAAGAGTATCCCAAAAGTTTAAAGAGTAAAAATATGAAAACAAAACAATCTCACATGGCTAAGAAATATACCCAACTTACTTCTATAAATAATAGATGTAATTTGACATTGAAAATCATGGAGCCTTTTGGTGAGCACAAAGCGAACTATTCTTTCGCTTCAATTGAGTTCAAATTTTAGGCTTCAATTAAGCTCAAATTTTAAATTTTTTTTTGAGTTCGAGCCTTTTCGATTTCAAGTTTTAATATTATATTTCGAGTTGATAATTTTTAGCTCGTGAGTTTTTGAGTTAAGTTGAGTTTACTTTTAAAGTTTTCGAGTTCGAGTCGAGCTCAGCAATACTCGAATTTGAATCGGCTCGTTGAACAAACGACGTCGTTTGGTTTATTTTTTTTAAAGAAAAAAAGTGAACCGGAGGTTCAAACCGGTTTTGCCGGTTTTCAGCCGGTTCACCCCGATTTTTCCGATTTTCAACCGGGTCTTCCGGTTCTTTACCGGTTCTGTGCTAATCCAGTTTTGAGAGTTAACTTGAACGGACAGACCACCGATTTACGGTTCAACCGATCGAATCGGTCGATCTGGTCCGATTTTAATAACATTGGTACCATCCATCATTCATAGCCATATAATATACTAATATATTCATGAGAAATAAATACAGCCACGTTTTTCATTTTTGAATTTTGGACTTATCCCTATATTTCTGATTTTCCCGTGACTTCCTTCAAAACTTTCTTCTTTTTATTCCCTCCAACTTCGTAGCCAAATCGTTAGTATCCGGCGGCAACCTTTCCCTTTCTTCTCCGACATCGAAGCGTAATTTCCCCCCTTTTGTTGTTCTGATGTGATTACGGTATTCTGTTATTTTTTTTGTAACCTAGATTTTACATTTCTAAGTTCTTTGATCCAATTCATGTGAAATTTGGGATTTAGTTTGTGGCTTGCTCTAGATTTGACTTTTCTTTTCGAAGAAAAAGGGGAATAAGGTCAAAATTGTCTGGTATCGGAGACGATGTCGAATTTAGCCGTTATGTTTAGATTTCGTTAAGTTTTGCAGTTATACTTTCATTTGGGTTGATTATTGGATTAAAACTGTTGAAAGTCAACTAAACTGTGTCAATTACATTAATAAATCGTTCAATGAAATATTCTAATCCTGTTAATTTTTATTTATTGAATTAGAATGTGTAGTTGCAAATATCGGTACATATTTTGTATCCGAAGCCCCCAATTCCTCTCTGATGAACAGTTCCAAATTAATAAGCCTCGTGAAGCATTTTTTTTGTATTAGAATTTATTTTATTTAAAAAAACAATGTTTAAATCTTCTACAATAGAATAGTGGGACTATAGATAGAGATGAGATATAAAAACTAAGCTGGGAATGACAATATTGAGGTCTATACTAATGGGGTGTATGTTTTAGTTCAGAAATGAAGAATAATTTCTTTTTAGATTCTGTTTCTAATTTTATACTTTTATTTGGCGTTTGAGTTTTGACTTGTTTGTGGCCGCGATAGTTTGGTTTTGTTGTTCATGTAGTAATTTCTACATTCTAGTTTCTTTGTATAAATCCTTTCTTTTCTTCACGTGCTGTCCAATTTTGACATCCTTGACAGCAAGATCCAATAGTTCGTCTGAACATATTCAGTATGAAGTTCTTAGAATACACTCCGCTCAACCGGTAATTTAAACCTCCACTCTCTTAGTTCCTAGATTCATGATCTTTGTCACTTTCTGCCTTTTGATTTGAAGTCTGACTTAATTTGTATCTTATTTTCTAGAATAAATAGTTTCTTGAATGATTTAAACCTCGGTGAGCGTACCATCAAAGGAAGCCTTGAAGCATACTCATGTAAGTTCACCTATATAAGTTGTCTCCTTGCTTTTGGAGATATTTGATTCAAACTCCGTTCTCCCCTATGCTTCTAGGCAAACACACTGGAACTGATAAAAGACTCTCTCTCAGTTTGGAGAATGAGGCTTGAGAACATACAAAATATCATGTGATTGGTTCCTATTTCTTTAGAATTTTATTATTGTTGCGATTGAGGGTTTCTGATGTTTGTTTTATATCAGATCGTTGACTATCTTGGGAAATCTTCAGATACCGACTCCAGCTCACCCGTTGAATTCCTATTGATCAGATCAAGGTTGTAAATATTATATGGAGTTATAAATGGTTTCCTTCCCGTTTTCATTCTTATTTATTTGACCAGATTTCTATCATGTGCATTTCAGCCGGAAGACATTG